TTTATTGAAAAAAATAAATTGTAAATTTTAACATTTTATTTAGATTACAAAAATAAATCGTAATAAAAATAATCCTATTTATGCTGTTTTAAAAATTAAGACCTACGAAAGACTGATTTAAGACATTTTAATACCAATTAAGGCCTTAGTTTTATTTAGAAGAATTCAATGCCTTTTAAGACTTTTCAAGGACCCCCGGGAACCCTGGTAAAAACTCATAATAACAGTTATAAATAATTAGTTACACTTTTTATGCATGGAGGTCACCATTAGAGAAGCATTAGTAGAAGCCAACGTGGAATCAAGATCAAATTAGAAGATAATAAAAGACTGTTAAACGTGACAGAAGTATTTTTAAGTCATTTTAACTCATCGTTCAAATATATCCGAGAAAATATTTTGATCCTGATGCTAACTGCTAACAGCCTCAGAAATTGGAGCTCTTTGAAGCATAGCTCTCCATCTTAGCATCGCTAAGCAGCAGCTTCTTCAGCCAACTGTCGCCTCTTCCTCCGTTAGGTCCTCATCTTCATCACGTCCTATGATTTCTACACTGTCATCAATTTCAACACGCTCCTGTTCAAACTGAAAAGGATTTAAAATGAAGCGTTGATTCGGCTAGATGGACCAGGCTAACACATTTTACCCAGAAAGCATTGCAGTGTAAACAAAATGGTGACATGTGTGACAATATATATTTTTAATGTTTTAATAATACTAAACAGCTTTTTACTGTATTGTATTTACATAAAAAATGTTTCTCAAATAGTTTGTTAGAAGTAATGCTGGGTCCCTTTAAGGAGAGCAGAGGTCAGGAGACACTGATCAACCAATGAGAGAAGTATTTGGATTAATAAGAGACAGACAATTATTATTACCATTATTATTTTGCTCTAATCATTAATTTGCAAGAGAATATGTTTAACTGCATTAATACAGTGGATACTGAAGACATTATATTTAGAAGCATACTGCAATAAAACTAACAATTCTGCAAAAGGCAGATTTTATATTTCTTTAAAAATAAATCAGGGATGTCACACATTCATAAAAGGCAGGAGGGACTCTAGACAAGCAAACTGCTGCTTCTCATTAATGCAGGAATTCCAGCATGAAGAGTCAGAGTCCTGTTGATCCTGGCATTGAGCTTTCAGGAGGATGAGCGGGGCTATCGTCTGTCTTCACAGAAAACGAAGAAGGGCAGCGGGGGGATTCATATCCGTTTCTAGTATAAAGCAGGATCAAGACTACAGCCGAGCTCTTCGACCGGCTACTGCCAGTTTGGGTGGGCAGGAAATACGCTGGGATCCTCAAGCTTATGATCCACAGCTGTCTGCCAGGGGAGCTGAAGGCAGAACACACAGCCAAGAGGAAAAAAGAAATGCTCACATATTCAAGTTGTTAGGACCTGAGGCAGCAGGAAAACTGGGAAAAGCTGCCATTAATGTAAGGAGAAGAAGGGACATGAGGGAAGTACCTGGCACACAGAGATTAAAATGTTGCTGTAAGATACGGTGAATCAGTGAATAACCAGGCAGATTTATGGAAACCAATAAATATTTGCCCAGGTGCAGCTCCGGGGAATAGCCGGCTACAGATATCGGGTTTCTGAAGCTGCAATCCCTGCTGATTTTGGCCGGGAGAAAAGCCGAATCCCTGGGTCCAACGCCAGGGAGCTGCTGTGCTAACAGGTCTCACCATCTCACATTCATGAGCCAACAAAGCCAGGGCGACACCCTGTGACATATGGCGCAAGTCTTCATAAAGGGATGGGGCCGCGGCTCGACCGTAAACAAGACGAACACCTCTCCAACGTCAGGATTTACACGGCCAACGCACGGCCACCAGTCCTACAAACAGATACGGCCCCAGATTTAAGGCCTCCTCCTGGTCGCTGCTTCCGTCCCCTGACTTGTGTCATCAAGTCACATATGTGGGACAGAGCTGGTGGGTTACATAAGAAATATCTGGTCTGTTTTCTTTTTCTGCAGATCCAGAGACATGCCTCACTGAGGTCACAGAGCAAAGGAATCACTGTCCTGTAGAGTCAGAAGGAGGATTTGTTTCACTCCTTTAATTCGGCAGAGGGAGAAGAGCCTATGAGTGAGGGGAAGTCAATTTCAAGGTGAATCTGTAGACATGACACAGCAGAGAGTCTAACATCTGCAGCATAACCCAATAATTCATCTCTCACATCAGTATTCAAGGCAGGATCTGGCCTGGAAACAACAAAAAGAACCAAGGACTTGGAGGAACTGAGGACTGCAGTGTGCTGATCATTAGGAAGGGTTACTCACAATCAGCTCCAGTTGGTACATCATTCATTTTACTGTGGGTCACCTCACCCCATCTTAGATTATGGATCCAGAACCAGATCACTGCGTTTTTTACCTCCATTCAGATCCCGTTGATGCATCTGGGTTTCTGCTGCATCCCTGAAAGCCAAACTGGTGCATTTTACCAGCTAGTTCCTCAAAAGTTTGTTTTAGAAAAATCACACACAGCTAACAACACAGCATCACAGGTGTCGGCTCATCGACGATCAGATGAATCTAGGTTTCCTCTAACAAGTTCATCTTAAGTGCGACCCACTGTGCATGCTCTGCTATCCTCACAGAGTTCTCTGTGTGGAAGAAACGCGAGTCGTTCAGCTTTACCAGCTTCAGAGCAAAGTGCTGCTTTACAAAGGAGGACAACACACCTTCTGTAGGTTTTGTCAACTGACTGAAACGGACTGAATTACGTTTAATAAAGAGTCGGGTCCATACATTCTCAGCCCTGCATTTCAGCGGGATGTACCAAGCTGATAAACAGAACATTTTGAGCAGAACATAGATTTACTTCAAAAACAGTAGCTGCATAGTGAAACTGTTCTGCACAGCAAAATAACTTCTTTTATGACAGATGTTTGAGAAAAAAATCATCTTAGCCTGATAAAGGTCTTTCTTATTTTTACTAGGAGGGCCATGAAGAAACCTCCCCCACGTGTGTAAAAAGTGAGTACAGTCAGAACTTTTGACACAATCTCATGAAAATGTAGACAGGTTATTTTGTTTTTCACTGAAATTAAACCTTAGTTTAAGCAACTATAGAACTAGTTTCAAATGTGGGGGTGAATTAATTTGTTTCAGGATTCTAACACTTTGGTTAACGTTAAAGTCAAGAGTATTTCAAGGACTTCCTAGGCCCAGGCTCTTTTAATTTAAGAGCAATAAGCCCAGCTGCTTTGAATGGATTATAAAAGAAAAAATCATACAAAAAGTAAAGTAAATGAATCAGAATCTATAAATGAAAGTGGATTGAATGTAATGTCCGTATTTACAACAATAACCTGTATAGCCTGCATTCACATCGCTAACATGTATAGCCTGCATTCACATCGCTAACATGTATAGCCTGCATTCACATCGCTAACATGTATAGCCTGCATTCACATCGCTAACATGTATAGCCTGCATTCACATCGCTAACATGTATAGCCTGCATTCACATCGTTAACATGTATAGCCTGCATTCACATCCCTAACCTGTATAGCCTGCATTCACATCGCTAACATGTATAACATGCATTCACATCCCTAACATGTATAGCATGCATTCACATCGCTGACCTGTATAGCATGCATTCACATCGCTAACCTGTTTAGCCTGCATTCACATTCCACATGTATATTCTGCATTCACATCGATAACCGGTATATTCTGCATTTATATCACTAACCTGTATAGCCTGCAATTACATCCCTGACATTTATAGCCTGCATTCACATCGCTAACCTGTATAGCTTGCATTCACATCACTTACATTCACACAACTAACAGTCATCCATTCCATCCATCCATTTTATGTCATCACTGCTGGGGTTGCGACCCCAACATTAATAGCATTCATATTGCTAGCATTCATAGCATTCACATTTCTAACATTCATAGCGTTTAAATCACCAACATGTATAGCCTGCATTCATACCACTTACATTCATAGCATTCACCTTGCTATCATTCATAGCATTCACATCACTAACATGTATAGTCTGCATGCACATCTGCAATCTTTATACCCTAGATTCAAATCCACAATTCATGGATATGTCTTATGTTAATGAGATGAGAGTTCATGAAGCTCTTTAGCAAACGTGTTGACAGTCTAAATCCGCACTGAAGTCCTCTAAACTCTATGAAACAGTGGACTTGAAAAGAATAATCTAAACACATTAGACCGCCGGTAATTGCACGGGAGTATACAGAGCATATACAGTGTTGATTGTTTCTGTTCATTCCCCTCACTTTATGCCTTAGACCATGGCTCCTGTTGTTTTTCTGTCCGGTCTTGGCAGCAGGTATGGAATAAAACATCTAATTGTCTGTTCTCTCCATTTTGGCAACCAGTATAAAAACAATCTGCTAATTTAAGCTCCTTGTGTAGCCGACTTAGTGCTGGTTTGTATTGGCTACATCTATTTTTATTTTATTTTATTTTTTTGAATGGCCAGAACTTCCTCTCCTTGATTTTGCCATTATTGCAATAATACAGAAAAAAAAAAACTGCTCAGATAACAAAAGAAACTGCTCAGAAAGCCCAACAACCTCTCTAACCTTCTCTTAGTAACCATTTTGGAGGTTTCGTCGTGAGGTTTGGTAACAACAAATGTAAAATAAATAACAATAAATAAACCGTTTGAGAGTGTACAAAACAGCTGCTCATGTTTTTACATTTGATTGGGTGAAAAGTTTAAATTTAATATAATAAGTCACAATATTTATTTACAATTGCAACTAAAAAGACAAATAATAATTTATATTGATGATCTGAAGCCACGGTTTAAAAGTGTACATAAAAGCTGTTCTGTTGGGTGCAGCACTGATCCAGTTCATCAAAACATAACATTTTATTTAATCCCAGTGTGTTGGATGGGTGAGTTAGACTGGGACATTTATTTCTGCAAATCTCGTGATTAAAAAGAAACAGAAACAGTGTAGAGGGAAAGAGAAGCTCCTACCTGGAGTTGCTGCCTGAGCTGAGGCTGCCGCTGAGGGCTGGATGATCTGCCTTCTCTGCAGGCGGCTCTGAGGTGGAGGCCGACGAAGACTGGGAAGATACCGACTCATTGCTGCCCGTTAAGGTTTCATCTGCTGACAGGGTGGAGTAGTCTCCCACTGCTGAAACACAGAATCTCCATGAGATCAACTAATCTGTTGACATTAATCTATTGTTTGTCTTCAACCTCGAATCCATCTCTGCAGCCAAAGGCTTGTTTGTTGAAGTCAGGTGAGACGGAGCTCAGATGTTAACAGATCCTAGTAGCTGCATGATAGAGCTGAGAAATCCAGCGTTACATTTCAAAACAAAAAAAAATAAGTAAATAAACCAAAGTGGGGAAGAACATTGGTCAGCTTTAGAGCTCCAGAGGTTGTTGCGCTCCTTATTTAGCAAGTTACATGTTTTCTAATGTTAACCATTAGCTTTAACAGAACATGCAGCTGGTCTGTCAACTAACACTGCATCTTACTGCAGTGGATCTGTTCATGTTGATTAACCTTGCTCTCAGTTTTTGGGAAGGTTGGACCAGGAAAGCTGCCAGTTCTGTTAGCTCTACGCCTGCTGAAGACACAGACGTCCATCCCTATGAACACTGGGACGGAACTCAATGGGAAAGGAAATTATTCTTATTTCTTATTTCAACCGTTGCGTATATTAGCTGTAACATATGAATCAAGATGAAATTAGATTGACAGATGACCGTTAATATATGATTGGCTGAATTTGGGTGTACAAGCTGACGTATAACTAATTGGCCTGCAAAAAATAATGAAAAAATCCCCACAGATGTTAAGACAGGTTTTTTTTTTTTATAGAAATTTTATAAATTTTGGGACATCGTCTGATAAAGAGTACATTTACAAACATGTTTAAGCCAGAACGATTTGACATTTAAATATGACTTCTCTATGACTTTAACAGGACATTGATCGTAAACACAGCAGCAGATCTTTGCTAGTTTGGCCCATATTAAACAGAACCAAAGGTCCTGTTAAAGTCCAGACCTGACTGAGACATTCAGAGAAAACTGGTCGCACTGTTCTGCCTGACTGCTCCTTTCACCAGTATGAAGCGGAGGAAATGTTCCTCGCTGGTTGCTACCCGTTTCTCCTGCTGCTGGCTGAATGAGCCGCGGCCTCTGCAGAGCTCTTCATGACCTCAGAAATGGGAAAAAATGCTTAAGAAAAACTCACCGTTCTGGATGTCAAGGACTTGAGGATTGTAGACGGCTAAAGGCCGATTCTGTCGACTCAGCTTCTTGGACTGCCGTGTGGGAGCAGATAAGACGGGGCCGGCGGGTGACGAAAGGCTTAGATCAGGAGTATCTGTAAAGATCTGAAGGACCAGGTGAGTTATTCTCTGACCAAACAACCGGCATCAAGCAGAAACATGTCCTCAGCTGAACCCCCCAACTTTAAAAACTCAGCCTCTCTGCTGTGGAAGGAGGAGAAACTATTTGCAGGAATATATATATTTTTTTGCTCTTAGAGAAAGTTGCACAGCATTGACTGGACAAAAAAATATATTTCTGTGAAAAACAAGAGCAGCTCCTCACAGACCATAAATCACATCCTATTCAAAAAGCTGGGTCTGAGTTAAGGGGACTTTTCCCCTCAGAGAAATGAAGGCGCTCTGTGAAAAAAAGCGAAAAATAAAATAAACACGCTTTAGGACTTAAGAAGGGTTGGCCAAGTGGTGCAGCCTGTTTACACTGGACCGTGTTTACATATACACTTTAGATGTGGAGTTGAAAGAGAATAGAACTACAGAGGAGAGGAAGTCTCAGCAGAGCCTCGGAAAGGATCACAGACGGGGGGGTGGGGGGGGCAGAGGAGGGGAGAGAAAGTTTGGAGAAGAGAAGCAGAAAGAAAAGAGGGAGAAATCTGATAAGGCTGAGAGTTTGTGCTGCCTGCTCTGCAGATGGAGGTGAATGTAAAGCGGAGTCTAGTGTTGGTATCTGGGGGTATCAACAGTCTGGAGTGGGAAAGTTAACACCTGCCTGTCTGTCTGCTCAGCTTCTCCCCTGCTCCAACATGCTGTACTCTCACAAAATCGCTCCTGCTGCATTCCAACACCACATCTTTTATCTGCAGCTCGGTGTTGGGTCTATGCTGCTGCTGCTTTGCCACATTCATGCATCCGGCTGCTTTCAGCTGCCCTCAAAGGACATTCAGGCAGCTGAGCTTAGGGTACAAATCTAATTCACAACACGACTCAACACCTTGGTCACATTAATGATGCTGGATGGAGGAAAAGAAAAATCCTCCAAAGCTCTGGGTCTCGTTCTGTTCTGTGCAGGAAGCACCGCTGCTCCAGACAGATTAGAACAATGATCTGTGAACCTTTTCCGCTTTCAGGATCCCAAAAACACACAAACTACCATGAGTAACTTAATATCCGATTATAAGTGAAGCTCTGCAGCTAACAGATGACCAGGTGTCTAAGTTTAGTTTAAGCACTTAGGGCTCCCCCTATTGTCCGGATTGAAAGCGTTAAACTGGCACCTGCTAACTGGGTCAGAACTGTGTACCAGAAATCCTTCATGTCACAGATATGTATATATATATATATATATTAGGGCTGCAACTAACGATTATTTTAAAAATCGATGAATCGGACGATTATTTTTTCGATTAATCGATGAATCGGACAAAAAATATTTTTTATATTAACCTCTTTATTCCAAAATAAACATTATAGACAGAACAAACAAGCACACAAGTACAGGTTGCTCATTAACTGTACTGGTGCAATATGAAAAATAAATGTTTGTGTTAAAACTACGCAAACTTACATGAGAAATGTAGATGTACATCCACAAAATATAGGGTACTTTGTTTCATAAAGCGCAAAAAAAGACATTTTTGTTTTTAAAAGCCTCTAAGGGGTTCAAACAATAGGCCCCCCATTTCAACAAATGAGTTTTTTTTAGACTAGAAGAGTTCTGCCTTTTAAGACAGGAAAGTACAGCAGTTAAAGTTGCTACTTGAGAAAATACTGAACCATAGAGATAAAAATAGCCCTGTGATTCAAATTATAAATTGTATTTGGAATAAAAATGAGAGAACTAGGGGTGCTAAAAAACACATCCTCCAAAGACAGATATTTACATGGGAATGTGGCATATAATTAATTGACATATTACTGATCTTGCTGGATTTTATTCTGCTTTACTTCTATAAATTGCAGGATCATCTTTACTTTATCTTTGCCAGATTTAAACTTTAAAAGTCTTGCCCTCATAATTTGCAAGTTAATTTATTTATAAAGTAAATGTAAACGCTGCTTAAGCTAGTTCAAATGAAATTTAAAGTAAAATAAGTAGCCAACCTTATCACTGTCTGTAACCTACTAACAAGATAAGGAAAGCATCAGATGAGCTACCTGCGAAACTAACGTAACGTTTCCCCACTTTAAAACCAAACAAACATGGTGCTTCCGTGCCATGTTAATTTCTTTTGAAAAAAGTTGCATGTTATCACTTTTTTCACTTTACAAAGCGCAGGCTATTTTAATTATTGTGATCAATTTGCGCCGTCAATCCCGGTGCATGCGCGCTTCATTTGCAGTCTGGACGCTGAGGCTCTGACTGAGAGGGACTCCTGCGGGAAAACGCGGTTGGGGTGGGGGAGGCGCCCCACGGCAGAGTAGGAACGATACATGCTTTCACGTAAGAGTCTCCAAAAGCCACCAGTGACACCGAAAAAAGTCGCCAGATTTGTCGCTAGTCGCTTTTTTGAAAAATAGTCGCTGGAGGGGTCTGAAAAGTCGCGGAGTTGGCAACACTGCTCCTGCGGCGCTGGCTCGCTCTGCCGTATTTTTTTTCCTTCCTCTTTCAGTCAAGAGGCAGTGATGACGGCGCAGCGGATGACGCAATAATCGCGCGACACAACTAATCGATGATGAAATTCGTTGCCAACGCTTTTAAAAGTCGATTTTTATCGATTTTATCGATTCGTTGTTGCAGCCCTAATATATATATATATATATATATATATATATATATATATATATATATATATATATATATATATATATATACAGTGCTGCTTGAAAGTTTGTGAACCATCCAAACATGGCCATTGTTTTCTAAAGAAAAATTATAATAATCATGTAAAATGAATATCCAAAGCTCAAATTGTAATGCGGACCTTCCAGATAAGGAACACAAAGACAAAAAAGATGCATCTTTTTATTATTTATTCAACAAAAGTATTTTATCTGTCAAAGACAGAAAATATGCCAAGTGCAAAAGTATGTGAACTCTTTCAGTTAGTACCTTGTGGCACCGCCTTTTGCAGCCATTACTTCAACTAAACGTCTTCTGTAACCACAAACAAGTGTCTCACATCTGCTTTTTGGGATTTTTGTCCACTCCTCCTTGCAGAACTCTGCCAGTTGAGAGATGTTGGAGGGACATCTGGCATGTACTGCCCGTTTCAGATCTTGCCACAGCATTTCTATGGGATTGAGGTCTGGACTTTGACTGGGCCAATCCAGAGTGCAAGTCTTCTTTCTCTTAAGCCATTCTTTGGTACTTTTGCTGGAATGCTTTGGGTCATTGTCTTGTTGCATAATCCATTTCCGTCCCAGCTTCAACTCCCTGACTGATGGCAAGAGATTCTGATCAAGAATTTGTTGATAGCCCTGGGAATTGACGGTTCCCTGGATAATATGGAGTCGTCCAGGTCCAGAGGCAGAAAAGCAGGCCCAGACTTTCACATTTCCACCACGTTGCTTCACTGTTGGGAGGAGGTTCTGCTCTTTAAATTCAGTGTTTACTTTTCTCCAAACATGGCGCCTGTGATTGTGGCCAAATAATTCAATTTTGGACTCATCTGTCCAGAGAATGGACTTCCAGAAAGCCTCTGGTTTGTCCAAGTGTTCTCTGGCAAACTTTAAACGTGCAGCTTTGTTCTTTCTTGAGAGCAGAGGCTTCCTTCTAGCAACTCTCCCATGAATGCCATGTCTATTGATATTTCGCCTGATTGTAGACGCATGTACATTTATCCCAGACGCTGACAGAGAGGTCTGCAATTCTCTGGAGGTGATGCGTGGGTTGGCCTTTACCTGCATCATTATTTTTCTGGTGCTTCTTTGTGAAAGTTTTGACGGCCGTCCACATCTGGGCAGAGTTGTAGTGATGCCTAGTGCCCTCCATTTGTAAATGATTTGTCTTACAGTGGATGGATGAAGCTGGAATCTTTTGGAGATGGTCTTATAGCTTTCCCCAGTCTGATGGGCTGTCACCACCTTCTTCCTGACGTCCTCAGATGTCTCCCTTCCTCTCGGCATTGTTGATCTGGTCTTTATGCCTTGACACAACAGTGGTTTGTTTGGTTTCGTCTCCCTTTTAACCAGTGCACCTCCAAACTTTTCCCAAGGACGTCTCATTTGATTGGTCTACTTAATTGATTACTCAAGCACTAACATGTGCTTCACCTGAGTCTTTTACCTGATTGTCTTTACCAGTGCAGCTGTGGTTCATTTACTTTTGCAGATGCTCTGATTCCGTTTTTCATTTAGTTTGCTTTCAACTCCCACATTTTCCTTAAAACAAATGAATGGAATTGATGAACATAAACCTGACATTTCATATACAAAAACTGGTGATGAAAAAATAAGAAAATCATGGTAAAAATAAAGAAAAATCTAAACTACTCAACTAGTTCACAAACTTTCAAGCAGCACTGTATATATATATATATATATATATATATATATATATATATATATATAAAATATAAAAGGTGTTTAGGAAACAAGATAGGATCCACTTTAGATGAAGACTCTGACCAACTAAAATCCAGATATTTTCATGTTTCTTCGCATCACCAGGAAGAGCTGAACGGGAAACATGTACCGATAAATAAAAAAATAAGACTTCCAAACATATTTTCTCCTCACTTGCACCTTAATTTTCCTTTAGCATCCAGTAAATTGTGTCGCTGAAGGTGGTAAACAGCAACATGATGCAGCTTTCTGTTTGTCACCAGATATTTCCTGCATTTTCATTCAGCCTTCAGTAAAAATAACTCCTGGTGCCAACTGGAAACTGGATTCTGAGGAGAACGTTACCCTGCCAGAAAGAATCAACTTCTTACAGCAGGTGGGGGGGGGGGATTATTTGATCCACTTCCATTCTAACATTTCCATAAGAAATGCAGCAGGAGGTGAAGAGAATTAGCATTTGCCTAAACTTTCTTTATATGAATAACATTTTTAATAGAGATTTGCAGATAAAATGTTTTTAATTTGGAAGTCATTGTTGGTTTTTCTTCCTCTATTAACACGATAAAAATGAGAATGAGATAAAAAAAAATGGGATACTTCGAAAAAAATTACACAAGTTTTAATAAAAAAAAAAAAAAAAAAAAAGAAGTATTACCAGATTAAACAAAGCATTAACAATGGATAGTAGATGGAGGGAAGGAGTAGCATCATATGAGCTACCATTGATCTCAAGGCATGGCTGCTAAACGCTACGATGAATCGGTGAAGGCATATCGGCATGGGCCGATATTTGATTTTTAATGTTCCTTTTAGATGTTCTTAAATCAACAAATCTTTCCAAATAAAAGTGTGGTAAAAAAAGAGGAGATAAAGAACAAGATTATATTTTACTGACACAGCTCCCTCAGGATTGTGTGCAATTTTTTAAAAAGAGGCTCAAAAGGGGGTCTCATGTAATGTGGTCCTTGAGGCCGGCCCCCGGTGGCCGCGGGTTTAACCCCTCAGATAGATGGATAGATTTTTGGATGAATGCATGGATGATGGATGGATGAACGGATGGATAGATGATGGATATATGGATGCATGGCCGATGGATGGATGGATGAATGGCCGATGGATGGATGGATGAATGGCCGATGGATGGATGGATGGATGGATGGATGAATGAATGGCCGATGGATGGATGGATGAATGGCCGATGGATGGATGGATGGATGAATGGCCGATGGATGGATGGATGGATGATGGATGAATGGCAGATGAATGCATGGATGATGGATGGATGAACGGATGGATAGATGATGGATATATGGATGCATGGCCGATGGATGGATGGATATATGGATGCATGGCCGATGGATGGATGGATGGATGGATGAATGGCCGATGATGGACATATAGATGATGTAAACCAAAGGTTAAAACAGCACCGTGGGACTTTTAGCCATAAGGGGCGTTGGACCTGTAACTTCCAGCTAAATGAACCAGCCAGTGTTCTGGTTCTGTTAGCCGACCACTTTGGACCAGAAGTTTGGACCTGAAAAACCCTTTAACCCTTCAACATCTATTGCAGCAAACAGCCTAGAGAGGGCACAAGTTCCCCCAATGTTTTTTTTTTTTTTACACATTCACTGTTAACAGAGAAACCTTTAGAAAACACTGTTTTTTAATATATGATGGGTATTGGGGCATTACTGAGCTTTCTTAGAATCCAATAAAGTCATTATGTTACAAGAATAAGGTGGTAAATTTGTCTCTTCAAGAGACCAGAGTTATTTAGACAGTTATGACTGAATGCTTTGCATTTCATTAATGGTCATTATAACCTTGTCTTTTTTTTCTTTTTTTTTTTTTTTTTTACACATTTTTTTATGCGTTTCGGTTCAAATCAGTTCTAAGAAGGAAACTGATATATTTTTCCTCTGATAAAATTAGTTTCTTACAGTTTTACTACGATTCGCTTTTTATGTCAATTTTGACTGTTATGCTTGTTGCTGCATAGCATAAATACATTCCATTATTGTGCAACACTTTATTTGAAATTTACTAAAAAGCAAAAAACACAAAAATTACATGTATATAAGTTCAGGCGTCTAGTTAAAAATTAAGCAAATATTTGAGTTGAAAGTTACACAGGTTGCTTTAAGCCGGGCGTACACTGTGCAATTTTTTTCAGTTGCACGCAGCTGCTGCTGATCACACTGTACGACTAATCGCAGGGTTTAGTCGTACAGTGTGAGCTCATAGCTCATGACGCTCTGATGCGATCTACCTGCTCACACTGCACGACTTAAAAGCACGTCGCACTCAGCTCCGCAGTGAGATGGAGCTATTCTGACTCGTCTATCCAGAAGCGAGTAGAAGGGAATTATTAAGCTCACTATAGTGAACCACGCTGCCTTGGCAATTTGCTTTTGTGCTGAAAGCCCTAAAAAGAAAAGGCGACAACGTATTTGGAAAAAAAAGACATGGCTGAGCAAACGTGGCTACTACGGTCTGTCAATTTTACAGACAGAACTGCATTTTACTCATTGCACCCCCTGCCATGCTTCTGTGTTTACATCTGATAGGAAGAATAGAAAGAAGAATCCTTGTTTGCACTGAGTGATTTGCCCACGACAGTCGGGAGAAAATCAAACATGTTTGACTTTTTCCCAACCTCATGATTCCTGATAGGGAGGTGGTCGTGAGAGGCTGATAACCCCTCGTAACCACCTGTACAGTACACGACTCACGACGCACAATCAGACTGAAAGTCGGCCCAATCGAAACATTCTCGCATGACTGGAAAATCGGCCCGACGATCGCACAGTGTAAACCCGGCTTTAAGTATCGTCCTATAAAGAAGTTAAAGCCTGAGGTGTTGTAGACGCTCAGCTGGTTACCTTCTCATGGTGCTCGATGAGGATTTCCACAACAATGTTTTGGAACTTCAGATCCATGATGGCAGCGACGGTGTCCTCCTGCGGCCTCATGAGCGTGGGCCCAAACACAACGCCCAGGTTGGCGACGGTCATCAGGTTCTGTTTGCTGTGCATCGCCACACTGAGGGACAAGAGCGACACAAATCAGCATTAAGGGGCAGAACGGTGTAGGAACAGCATTTCTGTGTAGATTCTGAGGAGTCAGAACTTTCTGAAAGGAACTAAAAGCAACATAATTTGATAAAAATAAAAAAGCCATATTCACCAGAATATGTATTTAACCTAACTTCGGGCCGAGTTTGATCTTACAGGTGAAGGGATTTTAAGTGAACTAAAAGCAAATTTTATGGAGCATAAATAAAAAGTGGATTCCTGCAGTGTGCATGTTTAATCCACCCTCCAGTCCTTTAACACATCCGTCAGCAGAATTTAGCTCTTTCTTCTCCTGAAAAGAGCTCATATTTGGTTGGTCTGGATGAAAACAATCTGAACGCACATAACGCTAACTCTGACCTTTTGGATATTCTGGATATCACCAGAAAAGCTTCCCCCGCAGCATAATGCTGCCACTGCCATGTGTGACTGTGGGGAGGGGGTGCTGAGGGTTAGTTTTCTCAGCTGACCAATGCAGCTTCATCCCCTACATGCAGCCTGCAGAGGGAGCTCTTTGTTCTTGCTACTCTTTCTGAAAGGTCAGAGTGCAACTATCCACTCCTTTGTGCTGATCTGTTGCACAAAAATCCCATTAAGATTCATGGAAGTTCGTCGTTCTAAAATAAGACAGAAGTTCCCGGTCTGGGCCCTTAACCCACCTGGTTATATTATCAATCTCCAGTGAAAAAGTTCCAAAAAGTAAAAAGCAAAGACTATTAAGTCCAAGTTTCAAAGTTGCAGACCTGGACTACAAACAAATTTAATTTCTCTTGATGGTTTAAAAGGTTTTAGAGGAAACGGTTAATTGCTCATGTGTACAAAACAATATTTTACATCCAAAACAGTCTGCCTTAGACCTAAATATTTGACAGAAATTGCTTTTAAGCAAGCAAACAATCAATGGAGTCAAGGACACCGTGTGTAAGAATTAATGGAGAAATTTATAATTGAAGATCCCACCACGCTGCATCCCAGGCCCCCTTTTATTCCATCTTTATATAAATGATCTCCAAACCATCCGGACCAATATGGTGTTTCAGCTCTACGCTGATGACAACCATATTTATGGGTTTGCAAAAACTCCAGAGAAGGCTCCAGACAAACTAGTGAGGTAAATACTCAGGGTCTCTCCGTGGGTGGAGGGACTTTTCTGTCATAGATTTGAAATACCCCAGCTGATGAACTGAAGTCTCAAAGAGATTTGGCATTAAAATAAAAAAGTAAAAAAACAGCTTAAAAAGAGTTTGTGAAAATCTATTTAAATTGTTTTATTGTTCTTATTCTTTTGTCCATTTTTAGTTAAACATCTTTTTATTTATTGCAGCTCAAGTCTGCAATTTAGCAATTAGCTATATGGCATCTGTTATTGGAACAATGCTTTTTGTTTTGTTCCTTCAAAACAAAGATGAAGAAATTATTATAATTTAACTTTATTGATCTCACATTGGAGAAATTTACCTGTGCATTTAACCCCTCCCCTTGGGGAGCAGTGGGCTGCCGTCGTGGGGCCCCCGGGGAGCAGTGTGGGGTTAAGGGTCTTGCTCAGAGACTCGGAGTGGCAGTCTGTGGTAATGGGGCTCAAACTCAGAACATCCACATTCCAAGCTCTTTGCTTTAACCACTAGGCCTTCACTCCGCTTACTGCGCCTAAATGTTCAATGAGGTGTGAATACTTTTGGGAGGAACGACAGTAGTAGGAGAATTTTTAAAGATGAATATGTCGGAAGGCTTCTCATTTAAAAGTAGGGCGGCTCGGTGGTCAATCGAGAGGAGGAAAACCTTAACTTCTAGTTATCTGGACATGTGAGGAGATTTCACACTCACAACAAGATGATAGGTGTCGCAGCTGCAGAGAGACAGTTTAAATAGCTTCAAAGGGTCTCTTTGAAGACTAGAACATTGGTGACAACTCACATTTATAATATCTCTGCAACCATTTCAGATAGGAGTGTGAAATTCTGGCTTTGCTTCCTTCCCCTGCAGGAGACGCACACACGGCAACTTCAGAAAAAAAAAATTAAAAAAATTCAAGTCTCCAGTCTGGAGAATTTCACGCTGGATAATCCAAATTCAGTTTCAATAGAGCTGCCTTTTTTTTTTTTTTTTAAGCAGAGCCTGATTCTGCAGTGGGTATTCTCTGAAATAAGATTCCCCAGACTTCCACTGCCTCGGGGAAGAGGGATTATTTACTTATCTTCAATTTGCTCATATTTAGTTTATATAAAGCTTGCTGAGGTAAAACCTTGTAATGTCGTTTAACATTATTTCCTAAATCTTTCCTTTTGTCCAAATGCTAAATAACTGATGCTTATTCGAGGTCTGTCCAGAAAAAGCTTCAATTTTTTCAAACAGGTACAATAAACTGGTTTAATTCTCCTCCTGTATGGAAAATGCTCAAGAAAAGGCAAAAAAAAAAGTCTAATGTGTTAGCAAGCAAAGAGTAGACAAGGAAGAGATGGAGTGACAGCAGGGAAGGGGGAGTGAAGAGAGTGGGAGTGAGGGAGATGGAGAGAAAAAGCATGTGGAGTGAGAACGAGGAGACAGACATGAAGAGCAGAGAGAGGGAAAGCGAGAGAGAGGAGGCGGAGATTGGCTGAACTCTGACCACTCACTTGGCCAGATGCTTCATGAGCAGCCCGAGGACAAGTCGATTCTTCTCCGGTAGTTTGTGGACCAGGCAGTGGACGGCTTGGATGCGAGACTCGGGACTGCCGCCCTCTATTCAAACACAGAAAACAAAAACGGCTCAGATCAAATGTTCAGCTTCAAATGGGCGATTCGATGAAGCGCTGAAGATCAGAGCAGCGCCAACAGATTTCACCGGAAAGTCAAAGCAAACGAATCACAACATAAACTTTTATCACTTAGATAAAAATAAGAAATCCCCAAATATGGATCCTAACGAATGTGGACACCTTGGATTGAAGCAAACTTTTCAGGCCCCATATCAGGTGGCATAAGCCGCCTCGCTGCACAAGTCTACAGATTACAAGAAGACGGCTTCCTGTTTGAGCAGAGAGGTGTTATGAGTTGAACTTGTCTGAATTTGGCAGCAGAGTCCACGTTGCTGGCAGGGGAGACTGCTCCACGCTGCTGTCGCTATCATGTAAAAAAAAGGTTGCGGAGGAAAAAAAATAAAAAAATCCCTTCCAGATCATGTCTTAAACATTTCCTCACACGCGAGCATCTGAGCGCCCACGCAGCAGCACACACAGACACGCTAAATATCATTACTATGGGAACCACCAGGATTTAAACATGAGGAGAAAGCTTCTTATGGATGCTGTCACCCGTCAAAAAGATAAATACTAAATTCTTTGCTAATCCGGTTTTACCAACCCCCCATCGTTATAAGGGCATTGCAAGCTCCTGATAAAAACATCAACCTGATCCAATTACAGCACTTGTTGCAGTAAGACTCAAGTTTGGCTCGCTTTAAAGCAGATTTATGCAAAAGGTAGATGGTGGGCGGGACAGAAAAGCACCTTTTCTACAACAGGGGAAAATCTTTCATCTAAAACCTCTATAAGCCTGTTATCAAGAATTAGTCAACTTATGTTTTAAAGTGAAAATCACTAAGTAACAGAGCGATGCATCGTCTGGTAGATATTACTGTTGTCTGCAGATACTTGCACCCGTTCATAGATCAGTACATTCACATAAGGTGCAAGCATTGCCACTCAATCCATCTGCTATTCATTGTTAATGTCGTTTTGATATAATTTTGTAATATTTGTTTTCACCCCAAATCAGTTTATTAGAAAATGCCCAAACGGTTGCCATTAGAGATAAAACGACACATCGGCCAGATGGTAGTTTTGGCTGATGTTTACATTGTTTCCATGTTTCAGAACCAGCCGATACATGCATCCATTTGCTGTCTCTGCAAATGGTTCTGCAAGCTCTCTAAAACTTTTTGAACTAAAACACCTTTTTTTAAAGTTTTATTTCTGAAATTTTAATTTAAAAATCTTGTTTTTTTTCTCCACATTTCCACTTAAAAAAACATGTTACTATACACAATAATGAAAAGAAAATGCTAATATTGGCAAAAATTATCAGCTGGTTGATGCATTGGTTTATCTTGAAATTCTGGTTTCATTCTATTCCACATTCACCAGCGACACTAAGCGACACATCAAGCTCAAGCGTCCGACTTTCTTGGGAAATATCTGCAACAGAATCAGTAACAGAAGTAGTAGCAGTCGTAGCAGTAAATAGTAGTAGTAACAGCAGCAGTAGATGCAGTAGTAACAGTAGTAAAAGTAACAGTAGTACTCCTAGCAGTAGGAGTAGTTACCACCAGCAGTTGTAGCAGTAGCAGTCGTATTAGAAGCAGCAGTAGTATTAGCAGTAGTAAACACTAGCAGTAGTAGCAGAAGTTGTAGTAGTAATAGTAGCAGCAACAGTAATAGCTCCAGTCTTTTACAGCCTGTTGAAGGACATCACCTGTAGTCAGTCCTGTTTAGTTGTCCCCAAAATCCCATATATATATATTTTTTAACTGTCCTCTAGTTTAACACTAGTAGTAGCACTAGCAGTATTAGCGGTAATGACAGTAGCAGCAGTAGAAGCAGACAGTTGTCATTTTCTTGTATTTGTCCTCTAGTTTAAATCCTAAAGCATTTATTCACCACTAAAGATGGAGAATCAATGATCCTATTTTTGTGATTTGACATCTTGGCCATCTGCAATTCTCATCCAAACCACTGGACTGAGGACACTTACTTGCAGGGCTGATGAACTCCTTATACAGTCCATAGGTCATCAATGGCTCCGGTAGGCTCCTTCAACAAGGTGGCAGGGCAACAAGGGAGAAGAGAAGAAAAAATGAGCACAGGAATAGCTGGCACATTGTTTTTTTATCTGTCTGCACACAGCAATGAATGTGACTAGCCCAGGATCAAGGAACAGGCTGCGTGAGCAAATATGACAGAGTTCATCTGACGGTAGGTTCATAATTTAGCCGTACCAGCGGCAGAAATACGGGGAGAATTTTGTTCCAAAAAAAGCAAGCCGTTTTCTCTGATTGATTTTTTAACATTTTTTTTCCATATTTACTTTTCATGTTATGCTTTTCAAATCTTAGTTTTTCCAGATAGAGTTTTTAAAATTGCATTACTCCAAATTGCATTTTCCAGATCCCATTCTTATATCTATAATGGCCTTTTTGTTTTTTATTTTAAATTTCCATTTACCAAATACGTTCTTTGCAACAAAATTAAATAAATTTGACTCCATGCAGACAGTTTTTGCTGAGAGAAAATGGACCTAAAGCAACACAGTGGTGTAAAAATGTGTTATAGATGTTGGAGCTTGGCCTGTTTTCCAGTGTAGTCCTGTTTCTCTGACTGTGTGTGCTCTCTTTCATCCTCTGACATGGGAGCTGGCTCGGCGCTCATCTGCCTGGCTGTGTGATTTGAACAGTTGCCTTTAGTATCTCTGCTTCTTTTTGCTATCTCTGCTTCTGTCTCCTTGAACCCAAGGCGGGCTCAGCTGATGGCCGCTCATACCGAGCCTGAATCTGCTGGATATTTCTTCCTGTTAAAAGGGAGTTTTTCCTCTCCACTGTCACTACAAATATGCTTGGTGTGAGGGATTGCCTTGGAGTCAATGAGTCAACGCAATCAACTGGTTTTCCTTAGATAGAAAACTTTGAATCAATTTGACTCGATGATCTGGTGAACTGTAAAGTGCCTTGAGACGACTTGTGTTGTGAATCGGTGCTATAGAAATAAACTGAATTGAATGAATTGAAAATTAATCACAGAATTAATCTCCATAAAGCTATTAAATGTTACAGGTATTGATATTAGTAGTAATATTAGTAGCACTTGTTTATTTTATTTTTAAGTAAAAATGTTCAAATTGAGAAATTTAGTTTTAGTGAAACTTTTAAATACTACTATACCTTTAAATAAACCATTGAAACAATGCCGTTTATAAACGTTGAGTTTTATCAACCAGGATTGAACCTTCTAAGCTTTTCGACGTAACTGAGGAACTGGGTTTTAGAGCAGGAGCTACAAAAAGAAATAAAAAACTGAACTCACTTCTCTTTTCTAGCCTCCGAACACAGATTATCTTCCACCAATAAAAGCATTTCCTGTTTATTATTTCCTTCCTTATGTAGCTGAGGTTAAAGTATCTCAAATCTGCTTTATGAAGCATTAATACTGTGCTTAAAGCTGCAGGAATGTGTGGGAGTTATGGGGTGGACGTAAAAAGGTAAATATACAACAGAAGATGCAACAAATTCAGGTTAGAAGTCAGATCCAAAGGTCTCCCTTTTCATGTAATAAAGTGCATAAAGTATTTAGAGTCCACTAAACATCCCTGCAGAGATTTTACAAGGTCTGATAGATTTCACCCTGAAGTCCAAATAAAGTCACCATTTGCAGTTAGCATCACCCTGTGGCTGGAAACCCAACGTGATCTTTGAAACCCAGAGAACATGGAGACGCTTTGATACAGCCAGCGTCCATTTTTTACATACATCATAAATTTTCCTAAATATTTCTGGTTTTGATAAGAACCCCAAGACCTAAAATGATGCAGCTAAACCATGAAGAAAGCCAAAGTTGATCTGATGGAGGAATCACATGATTGTAGATCTACACTATGTTAGCATGGTTTCCTACCTTCCATCTTTGCTAACATACAGGCTTTTTTCCTCAAATTAGTGTCTGACAGATCCGCCCGTGAAATGGTGCTTCAGCCTTTTCTCTCTACATCCCCGATGCCGCTGCACATGTAATCAGATTACTGATCAGATCTAAATCTGCCAATGAGCATCCAAACTGAGCCCAGGCTAAAATCCTCAATCTGAGAACATTACGGTACATCAATCACATGCAGACGCTCTATCTGCACCAATGAAGATATACTCGCCTCGACATTTTAACTGCTTAAAGTAACTCCCAACACTGCCTCCCTTAAAATGAAAAGGACATCAAAGCCTCCTAATAACAGGTTAATTAATACCAATCAACGCTGGAAGCTTTGATGCTTCAGATAAACTGTACGACAGTGAAAGGTTACATAATTATCCTCCCTTGAAGTTGTACTTAATATAAAATAATAGATGTTGTATTGAACTATAAAAGTTTACCTGCCTGGTAGCATTTTTATAAGCAAACATTTCCCAAACATTTTTATTTTCTAACTTTTCCTCCTCATATGAAAAGTTCCCCCACCATATGTCGGACCTGTACATTTATGCAGAATAACATCCAGTATGATCACTGATGAACACATAAACAAAAATTGTTCAACATCCATCTATCAATTAGAATCTCTTTACTACAGAATATGTATACTTTGTAAGTTTGAGTACTTTCACAGTACTTTCTGCTGCAGGAGCAAAGTTCAACAAACCTCCACCTGATTAATTTTAGGATGGAAAAGGCATTTGATTAAGCTTAACAATAGCTAGTAAAAGCAGAAGAAACTGAAGCTAAAAGAAAAACTGAGAAATTTTAGGCTGAGGAAGAACTTAAAGTAGAGCAAAGACATGTAAGATTTGAGGCTGTAATCGGAGACACAGAGAGGACTAGATCGTTAATGGAAACCAATTCCTGTTAGAATTCAATTCAGCTAAAGAGTTTCACTGGGATCAACAATCAGTTAAATCAGTAATCATCTATTTATTAGGGTTTTGATTAATTAATTGAAATTAATTAAAAATTTATTTAAAAAAAATGAATTTTTAGGGAATTGCCATTTCTACATAAATGGTGAAAAATGTGAAAACTGTTTTGCACATTTTAAATGAGTTAAAAATGGCAAAATATGTAAAAAAATATATGTACATAAACCTTTTTTCTATCCGTCTATAAGTGTCTATTTACACTTATATATCTATATTAAGGCTGGGTGATTTATAGATTAACTGATTTTGTAGTTTATATAGATTATATTTTTTGAAAATCAAAATTTAACCCCCAAACTTTGGCCTCCTTAGGCTTCCATAGCTCAGGGTGACATCAGTTCATCGCTTTTTGATTATAGATATTTATTTATAACTAATATACTGTGTGATACCACCAGCTAGAAACATTCCGGGTTACATTTTAATCACTTGTTAAGGATAAAGGACGCCTCCCGAAGCGGATGACTGATTTATGGTATCATTTTGAAAGGTCATTTATTTCATTTTATACCATGACACTGATGAGAAATGGGGATAAAAAAAGAGAAAAAAAATAATTGGATTTGGTTGAAAGTAGAAAAAAAAAACAGATTTAGATTTTTAGCTATATCAGCCGTATGTTTTTTTATTAATCTGTTTTTAATTCATCTTACTTTTTGTATTCAATTGGTAATTTTGATAATTTTTAATCAATTTATTTAATGTATTTTTTGTTTATATTTTTTGTCTTTTTATCACAACAGCGAGGAGGTTATTCTTTCATCAAATGGCAGATTTTGGTCCGTCTCCTGTTACTCAAGGCAACAACTCGACTCAGCCAACAAATTAGTAGCTGGTTATTTCAATGCTTAATCAAAATGATTAATTTGATGAATCATTTGAGCACTTATTCAGAATAAGCTCCCCTGCATGAGTGCAGTGGTTTAAAGTCGGCGTGTTTCAGTCTCACCTCAGGTAGAGCTTCAGCGCACTGGTTATCGTCTTGACGTCCCAGTCTTCACTGGCTGAGAGATCCACTTCGTTACTCATCTCATCTAAACAAAACATTCAGCAAATCTTTACTTTAGCCTCACTTATCCGAGGAGCAGAGAAACTATTCTGTTCATACGATACACAGAGGGCTAGCTGGCCTATTTAATGGCCAGAGCAGAGCTTCCAAACATGTAATATAAATATGAACACGTAATTAGTCATCTGAGGATAAAAGCATTGTTAGCGGCTCGGGGGGACCGACGGTTTTCCCAGCAGATGAGGGGAGAAGCTGCAGATTTGTAGACAGCAGCTAGTTCTACACTCATTATAAGTTTAATTAATCCCTTTCTGCTTGTCTGAATCCACGGGGACTTCAGAGGTGTGCAGTGCTGGAGTTTCAGGGAGCTGCAGTCATACCTCAAGAAAACTCATGAATTAGTGAAGATGTGGAAACGCAGTGAGTCAGAAGGAAGCTTTGAGTGGGAAACAAAGCAGGTCTGGTCAGCGGAGGAGCTGAAGGAGACTTCCTGAGCTGGACTGAGGTAAATAACCAGACGGCTGCAGGATCAGTCCCATCCCAAATGTCAAACCAAACAAGAAATAAAGGTCTACAACAGTTTACAGAAACACCAAATGTTAACTAATGAGTTCCAGAAGGAAGTCCGACTACTTGTACTTAAAGAAGCGCAGCAGGCTGATAGAACAAATGTCTTCAGTCTGAAAGACGGGCTGATAAATAAGATCCTCTCTCCCTACAGCTACCAACACCTAAAACAACTGGTAAAAAACCCCAAAACAAACAGTTATTACTGTGTCTAGTTTCCCTTTGGGATCAACAAGCCATTTTGGAAACCGATTAACTTTGAGTTACTTTTGATTTGCTAAAGGAAAAGTAGACTAACTGTAATCTGCCCCAGTACAGAGTTCTGATGGATCCCCAATCAGGCAGTGGGTTCACTGCTCACTAACGAGGCTACTGCTGAACCATCCCAGCTCTCCATCAACATCTTTTCTGTACCCGAACTTAAGAAAAATTCTGTCGTCGTTCCAGTTCCCATGAAACTCCGTCCCTCAGTGAACAGTAGCTCTCTGCTCAGATTATCGAGCGACGGAGGCAGAAAGGATGAGTCTGAATTTACACCAAATGCAAAACTAAAAAAAAACAGCTCTGCTACTGCAAGCCTTCCTGTGTTTACTCTGTAGGTTTCAGTCCAATCAGACATGATCATCATTTACCCAGCATGCACTGGGGAGGTGAAAAAATGCAGACTTAAAAAAAAAAAATCTAACAAAGGATATATATCTTTGATATACCGCAATTTTTGGACTATAAGCCACGAATTTTCCCCCCATTTTTCGAGCGCAAGACAGTTTGTGTTAAACATAAAAAAAACTGCGGCTTATAGTCCGAAAATTACGGTAGTTACATATAAAATGTTTTCAATTAATAGAAAAATTATATAACATTTAGGTCAACATATTTCACTACTCACGGATCCTTTAAGGTTATATTTTTATGTAAATTTAAAATAGAAAATGGGCTGTATTTATAAAGTGCTTTGGTCAAGTCTTAGGACTTGACCAAAGCACTTTACACTACATTGAGTAATTCACCCATTCAGGCACACACTCACACACTGAAATTTAAGGCTTTTTAAAACCTGTTTCGTGTTTACACTCTACGCCGATGACTGTCAGCTCTACAAGCTGTTACACACTGATTCCAACAGGACGCCGGCTGTTGGCGGTGGATGGGTGCGGCGCTCAGCAGCTCTGGATCAAACCACCTTCTGGATGTGATGGAAAAACAGACTCATCATGGATCTGGAGCAGATTAAACCCGCAGGGACCTTCCTATCATGCCACTGTACACACAGTCTATCAGGTGGATTTTCTGACATCTTGAATCTCCATAATTAGCGCAGATCTGAAATGAAAAGGGTCCAACAACCCGGTCCGGATAAGGATAACAGAAAAGTGCTCAATAGGTGCAGTTCTATTAGACCATTGACACCTGAATCAGATTATTCTACGCTGATGTCGGGAGCCTTATAACAGGTCGTCATGTGGGAGACTTTTACTCTTAACTAAAGGGAAAAAACTCTGTCTGATGCAGCGGTTCTGTCTGTTGAACAGAAGGTGAGGTTCTGCTGCCTTTATAGGCTGATGCTGTAAAAGGTTCCCATCCAGTCTCTGTGCAGCACAGCTCACCCTGACTCGTTCCCTCCCACCATACTACTTACATCCAAAGCGGCCGCTTACCTTCCTGTTTTCTAATGAACAGTGAGACACATTTATGACTAAGAGATGAAACGGGATGGTGGAAGAAGCTCAGGTCATTGTTTAGGGTCTAAAGCTTCCTTCACACACTCAGAAGGAGCTGCTTGGTGTAAACAGTGTTTATTTACTGACTCTGGAAAAGATGGACACAATTATAGAATGATTTCCCCTCTCCAACAACAATCTATGCAGCACTGGAAAACCAAGACTGGGACTCAAAACTTTGGGAACTTTTACAGTCTGATTATCGTCAAAGTTTCTGGAGCAAAGTGTTAATGGTGTCTACAGCATGAATCGGCAGGTTGGCAGACTGGAGGGTTTGAGAGACGAAGCTGAGACAGTCTGGCGGCTGCCTGAGTTCGTTGTCATTCCGAACACAGAGCTGAAAGCGAGCTGGTGTCTGCTGGAGACAGCAGGATACCACAGCGCCGACAGAGAGCTACAGAAAGGACAGAGGACAAGGTAAGAGGTTGGTTGAAAGGGAATACAGACAAGTGAGAGGCATAAAGGTGATTGAGAAAGGCAGCTGACAGAATGAGCCTGTCATGAGGGCAGGAGAGGCTGGCTTAGTGGGGTGTTGATGGGCAGAACCCAAACAGGCTGAGGAATATCAATAAGTGAGCCGAACAGGGTCTGGGTGACCGGGAGGGACTCTGCTACTAGTTGCTTTAAAGACGAGTGTTTGAGATTAGCTCATCTTTTTATAAAAGCCCCCAACAAACAACAATCAGCAGGAAAACTTCAGGTTTTATTAAAAAGAAAACCATCTGCAGACTAAAGAGATGAAACATGATGTCACTCACCAATCATCAATGACAGAAGCTTCTGGACCTTGGAGCTTACTCCCCCAACTCTGTACAGACCTTGGTCATTAATGCCTAATGAATAACAGGGAAAAACTAATCAGAACATAAAGAGAAATTATTTAAATAAACAAAATTTTTGTCATTAGACTGAATAAACAAAACTGCTCTAAAATATATATAAAAAAGAGAGAAAAAGCAAACTATGTGACTAAAATGTTTTACATAATTTGAACATCCAAGCTGCTCGCTGCACCTGTTCACATAACGCTTGCTTATAGCTGGAGAAAGTCTGCCCCCTTGTGTACAAATAGACCCATTACACCCACCAAAAACCTGGCTGTCAATAATTACAAACCCCAAATTGCTCGGCTTTATGAAGGTAGATTTGTTTCTTTGTTATTCAATAAAAAAAAGGTTGCTTCAATCAAAAAATATATTTTCAATTAAGAAAATCTTCACTTCAATGTAAAAAAAAAAACTTTTCAATCAAAGAAAAAAAGTTTTAAATGCAAAAATATATTTGAGACTCAAAAAAATACATTTGAACACTGCTTTTCTTTGATTGAAAAGGTTTTATTTGATAGAAATCAAAAATCAAAAAAGAAGTTGCTTCAAACAAACAGAATCAAGAAAAAAAAGTAACTTTGTTACTTAAATAAATAAGTAAATGTTTGTTTATAAACGGCATTTTAGGCAATAGACAAAATGAAATGCATTGAAAAATATGAACCAAACTATATAGAAAGAAAACATATGGAAATAAATAAAAATGTTCTTATTTGACAGATAAATAAGTGGATTCTACATGATCCATCTGCTTTATAGGACTGCTGACCTACCGACTGACCTGCTGTTTAAAGCCAAGTGGATCATATTTGATATGCGAGTTTCTGAGACCTCTGCATCATCAGTTTGATTCTGTAAGTACGGGGTTTTTAAGAACAAATATATCAGACACTTGTAGTGAACGGAAAACGTAAAGGATTATACAGAAATGCCTAATGTATCGAAATTCATGCAAATAAATGATCTAATTTAACTTATAGGAAATGTTTTTTTTTATTTAATTTGTCAGAAAGTTCAATGACATTGACATCTATATAGTTTTTTTAAAAAATTACATTTTCTATCAAGTATTTCATGGTCCAGGCTTTAAAGGGTTAACTATATAAACCTGCCGATTGACACAGGGCAGGTTAACCGATCAGATATTTGGGTCTAGCTGAATTTTTTTATGATTTCCTTTAGGATTGTTGGGAGACAGAATCAGGAATACTGTAATTTTCGGACTATAAGCCACGACTTTTTCCCCATTTTTCGACCTTGCGGCTTATCTATAGACTTTTACAGCTAACGGCCACTAGGGTAACACCTAAATCTATGGATTTTACCATCCACCATGTTGACGTTGACCACATGCAGACTTCTACTGCGAGTGGTACGAGACATTGCGGGTGCAAGACATTTTGTGTGACACCCCAATTATGGAAAACAAACGTAGCAATAGAAATAATAAATAGGAGCTTCCCCAAACAGTTGCCTCTTTCCTGACAATCCTCTCTGTGCACGAACCATATGGTAATTAAACATAAAAATGTGCAGCTTATAGTCCAGTGCGGCTTGTATATGTAAAAATCATGCAATTTAGCTTCTGCGGCTTATATTCAGGTGCGGCTAATAGTCTGAAAATTACGATATTTATTTACTCAGTATTTAAGTGTTACTGACATTTCCTAGAATATTTCTAATGTTTATTCAGTTATGTTAATCATAGTTCAATTTAACATGTGAATAAATGATCTAATTAATCATTTGTTGGATTGATGACGGATGCAGATTTTCTAGGCTAAAGTTATCCAGATGAAACCTGTTCTATTATGATTTCAAAATGTTTGACACTCACCTCTGGTCTCTATTGCAATGATTGAATTCTTCACAAAAGTTAAACCCATTTCATCCAACTGGGCATCGACTACATGTGGAGAAAACAGGAGATTAAAAAGATAATTTTGCTCCATGTTACAGACTTCAGAGCTGCTGGACACTTACTTCCTCTTTCTTTAGACAGAGTCACTCCAAGATAACCAATCTGGAAAAAAGTTATAAAAAAAAAATGTTATAAACTAAACTGGTTATGCAGGTTCATCTTAATAGTTAATGACTTAAAGAAATGCATAGATCAGATGCAGTTTCTGCTCTCCTCTGTTAATTTAGATGATTATGGTTGAAATCTAATCAATATTCATCTTCTGCAAATGTCGCTAATGTTTGTAAAAGCAACAAAAACAGCTCAGGGGAGTGGCAGCCTAGTGGCATAGAGCTTGAAATCCTGAGGTTCTGAGTTCAAGCCCCACTCCCACAGACTGCCACTCTGGGGCTCTGAGCAAGACCCTTAATCCCACTGCTCCCCAAGGGGAACGGTTCAATGCAGAGAGTTCATTTAGTTGCTCAGTACTTGTGACAATGTAATGACAAAAAAGTTGAATTCTTCTAAGAATTCTTCCTGGATGGACGGACAGATGTTTGAAATGATGGATGATTGGATGAATGGATGGATGAATGGATAGTTAGTTGGTTGGATGGATGGTTAAACCCAGCCGGTTTTGCTGTGTGTGACTCACAGGCTCCTTCCCACCCATGGCCTGCATCCACAGCTTGTGGTCATCCTCTGACAGGGCCTGAACAGTCAGCACCGTCCCGGGCCTGAGGGAGAATTATGCTACGTTAGCATGAGACAAACCGTAGTTACAGAGCAGAAAGACACACAGAATTTACTACGCCCTCTCAGAGCCTCCATATGGTTTAAATGTCCACTGTCACGACTGTGACAGGATTGATTTGGTCATGCAGGTTGGGATAAGCTCTACACTCTGCAGTCCAGGATGTAGTGATGTGAGGAGATGACCTCTTCATGTTGCAGTGATTTTAAATGAGCTCTATGGATATTGGATGTTTCCTACTGTTTGGCAACAAGGAGAGGAAATGGTGCCATTAATCTGATAAAGTGATAAAAAAACAGGTTTCCCTTCCTAAAGTTGCTCTTCCAGAGAATTTAAACTGATAACAAACCTGTCTGTTATGTCCAGGTCAAAGCAGAACCTCCTGTCCAACATGTCTGTTGGTTTGCGGATGCAGGACTTGAGCGTGACGGACTCCGTCTCCCCCTGAAACGTGTTTATCATTTACAATCAGAACGGCTGTTATGGAGGAAACGTGTTACAGATGGAGGCAGAGCTGTGATCACTCACTATCTTTCCACCGGATCGGTGGTCAAAAGTCACCATGTGCAGGATCTTCTGCTCCTTCACAAACGTACAGTAGCGCTTGACCCAGCTTGAACCGAAGGGAGGGGGTCCTTAACAAATCAGACAACATTAATCCAGGAGTGTTAAAGTTTTCTAACCAGGGCAGGAAAAAAAAAAAAAAGATTAGAAATTGAAAAAAAACATTTAAGTTTCTTCATTTTTTCGTTTCAGATTTTTTTTTCAAACGGCTGTAAGCTCTGCAATCAGAGTGGGCCTGGTGACCATTTAGGTGCCTGAAAAAAATATTCACTGCTGCTGCATTCAGAAACTGGGGGAAATGTGAAATGTCTGTTATATATTGTTGATATTTACTTTTATGTGACTGTTTAAAAAAAAAAAAATAATTCACTGATCAAAGTTGTTTATGTCAGCACACTACACAGATCTGTTGGGAGAAATTCTAGTTATTAACACATATTTTCTGTTTTAAATCATTTATTTTAATATTATTTTTCCGTTTTAAAACATCCTAGCTCCCTCGGATTGCCTTAGAGTGTAATATTTCACCTGATTCATGCATGTCTGAGCAGCAGCCCCTCCCTGTCCTCAAAGTAAGCAGCCATCTTTCTATATAAAGCAGGAAGCACCTGCGGTGACCACGCTGCGCCTGCCCAGTAAACATTAAGCCACTGTTTCTGATCAGCGGGTTCATTTTTGAGAACAGCTCATTTAACAGCTGATCTGCACAGTGACAGCAGCTGCTTGTTTGTAGCTAATGTCTAAGTTTGAAATAATAGATCACATATGCACAGTTTTATTTACAACACAAGCACATAAACTACTTTTTTTTTTACATTTTATAAACACAAATTCAGCACCATGAGACCCCAAATCCATCACAACTATGAGTTCATGCTCCGTCTCTGCTCTCTTGCTTTTTACGCATCTGTTGTCTTCTACCAATCGTTGGTGGAATGTTTCTTTGCCCTCATATCAACTTTTTTTTTACTTTAATTTGGCTACTTTTCTCTTAAGGAGTTAAAAATTGTAGTCATCATTAAATAACTTTTAGTTTATAACGTCTATCACAGACATGACTTTGTACGAAAGAGTAATAGAGCCAGACAAGAGGTATTTTTTTCTTCTGTTTCGAAAATAAAGTCATAAAATTATGAGAATAAAGTAATAAAATTACGATAATAAAGTTGTAAAATTACGCAAACAAAGTCGTAAAATTACGAGAATAAAGTCATAATATTACGGGAGAAAGTCACAATGAGAATAGTCATAAAATTACGACAATAAAGCCATAATATTAAGAGAATAAAGCCCTAAAATTACGAAAAACAAGTTGTATTTTATGACAACTCCTACAAGAAGCACTTTCTTCCCTAAAATGAGGAATGTCAAGCATTATGTGAAGTTATACTTTGGCTCTGGTTTGACAAATAAGGAAATCTTTTAGCACTGCAATCAATTTGGGCAGGATGTCAAAGTGCACTCAGGTTGCTGATTGCAGATGACGGAGGTGCTGGACATGAAGTCAGAGTTCAACTCTTGGAAAGAACAGCGATGAGCTTGAAGATGCATTGCTAATGTTATTTGCTACAACTAGGAAGAAAACCGTCCTGTCAAGAGGCCAGATTTCCTAATAAGTAGCCAATCACAGGCATTTCACCGTTTGGTCGGCTGCTTCCTCAAAGTGACGGAAGCTGTTCAGGTTTGATGAGGCCAAATGAGCGGCCTCACTAAGGAGAACATCATCCACATAGACACAAACTCTAAATGCTGGGGTTTAGACCAATAATTACCAAACAATCATGTTTCTCAGATGCAAAACTGCTGCAAAAACACAAAAGGGTGGCAAATGCACACCACACTTTTCAGATTTCCATCCATAAAAAGGTTTATTTTCATTCCACTTCACCACTAATGATTAAAGGGTTAACTATAATATCAAAGCCTGCTTAAAATAACTGAAGTTTGACTGTTCTGACATGAGAAATCTCTCGAATATGTATGAATAGAAAGGAAAATCAACACGTGCTTCACCCATCTCTTACGTTTTTCCTGCACGTAGAGGTAACCTTCAAAGCTGATGGGGCTGGTCTGGCGGTACTCGTGGGGGGTGTCTTTGATCCGCTTCATCAGCTCATGCACCTCTGACCGCGTGCCCTCGAATCGACTCCTTGTCTGGGAGGGACAGGAAGCAAAGACACACTCCAGGAAGTGGCTCAGTGATGACCCTCCTATCAGGAGGCCCACGTATTGCAAAATCATGCACAGATTTTTCAGGAAAAAAAACTAAATTCTCCAATAAACTTGTTCTGAAAGTTCAAAGAGTAAATAACCAGTTGAAGCCAACCAACAGGAGAAAAGGAAGAGCTTCTATAGTATGTTATTTTATGTTTCTTTGTGATGGAGGCGGAGCATCCTTCGAGAGCAACTGACATCATTTGTTCATCCAGGAAATGTGTTTTTTTCTTACATTCTGAATATTGATCTGCAGCGCTCTTTTATAGTGGTCAAAGTCCTTGGCAAGCTCAAATCCCTGGTGATAAAAGGTGAACATGGTCTGAAAGAAGGCCAGCATCTAGGGAAAAAAATCAAACAAAAGCAAGTTCATTAAACCCAGACAGATCATTCAGACACAGTTGGTCCTTTTCTGAGACGGCAACTGATACAAGAGAGCATTTCCATTTGACGTCCTGCTTTGAATGCATCCAGAACGTCAGGCTTTCTTTTTGAGGGCAGGAAAGAAATGATTTCTGAGATTTAGGTCCAAATCATCTCCAAGCTGAGACCTTCTTGCTCCAAACTATAGTCAAACAAACTGAAGGTCTTTGAATAGCTTTTAATGGTCATTTAATTTTGGGTAAAAGGAAAAAATATGTTATGGTTATTATTTGTTGTGACTCTGAGTTTTCTGCTATCAGTTGTTTTGTTTTTATTTTCCATGATCTTCAAGCATTCTTTAGCTACTCTCTTGTGATTGTTTTCTTTTCCCTTGGATTCCCTCTTGCCAGTTCCACCGACACCTGCTCCCCATTCAGCTCGTTAGTCCATCCTTTTGTTTGGTTGACCTTAAATACTCCACCTCTGCAGTCACTCAGTGCTGGTTCCTTCTTGTTGCTGTATAGTCTACTAAAAAAGAAAACCTTATGCTGTAAATGGCAGACACAGACTGCAGCTGTTTTGACTTTAACATAAAAAAATTGAAATTAAACAAAAAAAGAAAATAAGGAAGGGAAATTCTCTCCTCCAGTGAAGCTGTGCGCTTTCCTTAAAAGAAAAAAATAAATAATCTCCGCTCCAGTTTTCAGTCTGTTCAATTTTGCTCATTCACATAAATAAATGAATAATGGTCAAAAATGCCTCATAACAGTCAGAACAACTGGAAAAGATTTTCCCACTGGACGAATCTTACATATTTTTGACAAAAAAAAATATAACAACCAAGTATGTCATTCTTTATTAGGTTTAGCAGCGTTTGCAAGTGGTTGACAATATTACCAACAGAGCAGAAGACTTGGTTTGAGGGGGTGCTTGTCTTTGCCACAGAGTCACCTGCAACTTTTTGGACTTGCGAATATCAGTTGAAACGTTTTTGCATATTGCTGAACCTTACAAAGCATAGATTTTACAACAGTGCCATTCTAAAAAAACTCAGAAAAAACAGACTGACTGAGTTTAAATTAACTTCAGCATGTTTAGAAATAAAAATGACAGAAAACTGCTCTGGTCACTTTTATTCCATTAAATAAACTATAATAATAACATGTATTAAAGAGATGTCAGTGATTAAAAGAGTTGTTCTGATTCAGCACATCTCTGCACAGTCAGATATTATGATTAATAACCACAAAGGAATTATCGCTTATTCTACTATAAGATGCAGACATATTGAAAAGAAATGTTCTACTGAGAGAAATTTCAGAAGTACGCCTGCAACCAACCATTATTTTGCAAATTGATTAATCTCTCGATAATTTCTTTGATTAATCAACAATCGGATAGCAAAGAAGACTTTTTATGAAATTGAACCAAGATATTTTTTTTTTTAACAATTTTGGTAGAGTTGCGGCTCTAAATGGGTCAGTCTGTGAGCTAAAGGCACGTTTTAGTCTCTCTATCCTCCAGTTAATGATTAATTGATTACTGAATTAGTTGATGATTATTTCAACATTCATTTGATCATGTGTAATCTGATCAATCGTTTCAGCCCTAATCAGAAGCACTAGCTAAATTAGCTTAGCTGATATAGCCTGTTAACCTGACTCCACCAGATGGATTTGCTCCGCATATCCATCTGGAAAACCTTCCGTTGAAGTAATTTTGGGAATGGGGTGAAAATACTGGTTAGCTGATTGGCCTATGTTGGTGATAGACGGGCCAAATAAACCAATCAGATCAACGAAGCATATGACGTACTAAGAGAGCAACGACGAAAACACAACCACAAGCCAGGTTACTCTTGCCGAAACCAGTCGGGAGAAGAGCAAAAACATCTTTTCCTCTGAGAAAAGCCTCCAGAGCAGTGTTTTGCTCTTCTTTCAGTGAAGAAATACTCTGTAATTCCGATAAAACTTGCTCGATAGCCACGCTAACGCTAGTTTCATCGGCTGAAGCTGCCATGTTCTTTAGACTGAACTGTTGCGCTTCTCGTTGCGTCGCACCTCAACCTCAAAGCCAACGCTGATTGGACGTTCGTTTGGTGAACGGATCCAAATTTTCTTTAACGGAGAGTCTCCAGACTGATCTGCGAATGAAACCTCATCAGCCTCAGCCCTGTAATGTTCCAATTCACAAGAACAGCAGACAGAGAAGAGACAAAGTCCACGGATATTGTTCTCGCCCCTCGCTCTTTACCCAGCATGCATCAGAGCAGACTTGTCTTTTATTGTGATTGACAGCTGTCCCAGCATGCACTGCGGCAGCAGCACGCCATTGAAAGTTAAGTTTTCTTTTCTGTTGCTCTTGTTCAATAAAAGTACATTTTAAAATCATTTGAGGCGAGAATATTATACTTTAAAGCATCACTATATGGTCTATTTTCCGATTTAATGTGTAATTAAAAAAAACTTTTTTCCGAAGTTGAGAGGACCGCAGCAACCAGCGGACCTCCGAGGTTAACGGCAGCCAGGGCTAACCGCTGCCCGTCCGCAGCAGCCCTCTGTCGGCATAGCCGTGTGTGAAGGATCGCTGGCTCTGATGGCCAGTTTTCTGTTTTATTTGGCAAAATGTTCATTTGATTTGTTTTTATCTGACTGTGTTCATTATTATTCCCCCACAATATAAAAAAGGAATAATTTATTATCATCTAGAGACTATTAATAACAGGAGGTGAAATGCAGCTCTAGACGAGCCGGGCATGTGGAGACGTCACGAGTACGCTTCTGTTCAAATTGACCCATATCTATGCTGCGTGCTCCCGTTCTCCCCAAGTCCATACTTTCCTGAGTTCTTCTCAAGAACATACTTGGCGAGGACACAAGTCCGTACTCGCGTTCTAGTGAATTAAGAAACGGCCTGTATCTGCAAGCTAAGAAGAACATTGACAGGTATATTATTGCCAACACTGCCTAGCAATCAGAACGTTACCTGGCGATTAGATTGATGCATAAAGTTCGTAGCCTTACCTAGCGATGCGCATGCCTACGACATGGTAGTTTAACCACATGGATCCTTTATGTGTGACTTCTTTATTTTGACAGATTGATTTTGTTTGATCACATGTTGATTGGCTGACAGACACCTTTTTTTAGTTTTTAAATCAGGTTTGAGAAGACAGAGCTGCTGCTGGACGGTAACTAAAAGATTAAGGAAACATCATTCCATGGAGGTGATAAAGCAACTTGCTGTTTGCAGTTAGCAATAAAAAGTTAAGCGGGGGAGGTAGCAAAGGAAGGAAACAAACTAGAAGGACATTATCCCAGCCTCTTTTTTTTCCACTGGCTGTTTTAACATGTGCTAATTTACCTGAATGTGTCCAGAAATTATTTAAAGACTGATTTAGGATGGATGTTTCATGGAGCTATGTGCTGACTCAGAACTTAGAGATACATCTGCTGAACAGGTTAGGACTCCCGCTCTCCTAGTCGGAGCCACATCCACTCTGTGGAAAGTCACTCACCGGTTCCACGCATTCAAACTTCTTTCTCTCCTGGATCTCCTGCAGCTTGCACACATATTCAAGCGATTCCTCTTGAAAGTGCTGCCTCATGGTTTCCACCTGGCTGTCTGCCTGGAGAGGTGGAGAACACACATCATGATGATTACAGACAGGAGGAGAGGAAGAAACACTCTGCCTGCAGCTGCTAGGATGAGATTATTGAGTAAAGTCCAGATACAAATGTCTTTAAATAACAGCTCTGCCTCTTTACTCTCTACGATGAGCAACCACATTACTTTACTTCAACACAGACACCTGGCAGGAAAGACAAAAGGAGGAGGTCAAAGGAAGCATGAATCAAGAGGAGAGTCGAGTCGGACGGGACAGTGTCAACGTGAACCTTAAGGTTTGGAGAAAGACAGGAAAGAAAAATCAGCCTCTGGTTCAAACAGGTTCAAACCTGCTGCAGCAAACCAGGACTTCAGCTCAGCAGAACGTTAGTGATGCTTTCTAAAACCGTTAAGTATCAAGATGTGTTTCTATCAAACTCCATAATGCATCAGAGCATCCAGACACAAAAGATCAGCATTCCCCTAAAAAGAACTGAAAATAATATATTTTAGCCGTTTAATAACTGCATGTAATGCAGGGATGTTTTTATTGCTCTGTGCTTCATCCCCACAGACCCAGACTGCTCCTCATGGGATGGTTAAACCAATGAGGTCATTTAGCTTTTGATTTTTTGTTTTTAGAAAAACGTTCCTATTTTTTCTTTTTTTTTCTCTCCAATTTTATTGAAACTGTTTGTTCATGAAAGAGAAGGATGTCTGTCGAGGAACGGCTGATAATCAGATTATTTGGATTCAGTAGAGATGGAGAGACGTCTCGTCCTGATGGACGCTCCAGTGATCCGGAGTCCATCCTGGGTTACACCTCATATGTGAAGCCCTTTGGTTCTTTGGGTCACATCTGAACAATTCAGTTTATTCATAAAGCACCATTCCCATGGTTTGTCTCAAAGCTCCACCTCCAATTAAAAGGACTGACTGGGTAAAACTTCAAGAACCAGAACCTGGGCTCAGTGTCAGCGAAGCCGAGCCCGCTTCACTGCAGAATGAGCCTGTAACAGTCAGTCTACAGACAGGAGCCTCTGAGCTATGAGTGGCAGAGAAACAAACAGGCTGCAGAGAAGATGACACTGTGGACACGGCGCTCCAGCAGGTCAGGGTCAAGAAAATGGGTCTATCAGAACCTCAGCAGGAAAACGGGAACTTCTCTTCGATGTGGAAACAGGAACTGCAGGTACATGGAAGAGTTTGAGCGAAGGGAAATACCTCCTGCAGCTGCGGCTCCTTCTTCTTCGCCGACATGTTCAGAAGCTTCTCCAGAGAGCCGTAGTACTTCTCAGTCTCCTTCTCATACCTTTTTCTTTCCGCCTTTCAGAGAAACAAAACCAAACACAAAACATTTGAAGACTTTAGGAGAAGCATGAAACATCAAAGTACTAAAACTGGTTTCCATCAAGAAAAGCTCAGAAAGTTCAACCTACCCTGACTGTGCCCAGCTGCTCCTTCCTGAACTTCTCCAAGGGTTTCATTAATGTCTCTGTGATGTTTCTCATCTAAGGCGAGAAGGGAGGTCTGATCATCATCATAATCATCATCATCCTCCTCCCAGTTTATTAAACTGGGAGATGAGGAGGTTGGACACAGATACTGTGATTTCATTTTTTAAGGAAAATAAAATGTGTCTAAGGTTTTCCTTTCAGATTTGCTCTGCAGCATTATGCCGTCACTGCCGTGTTTCATAGTGAGGACAGTTTGTCCATGGGGTCAGATCTTTGCTTCATAAAGAATTTAGCAGGTAGAGAGCTCCTCCCTCCGCAGCACAAGAGAAGAATCCTCAGACGTCACCTTAAACAGCTGAGGACTCGCGCCACGCTGCAGAAAACGGATTTCTTTAGGTTCTCCACCTGAGCCGAGGAGCTCTGCAACTCCTCCAGAGTCACCAAGAGTATCTGGTTATTGTTCTGTCAGGCTACGGAGTGAATTTTGTTCCACTATTGTTCTAAAGAACATGTTTTGTCAATGAAAATTTGGAAAATAAAATAAAAATAAATCAGAGGGAACCACTGAAAAACTTCTTTACCAAAATAAGTTTTCAATAGTAACTTCGCTGTTGACTTAGAATTTTGTTTTTAAAATTGTATTTTTAAAACGTATTTTTTTTTCAATAATTTTTGACAGATGTTATATTCTTAAATTACATACAGATTTCTCTTTCTCTGAGGTTTACAATGTGTTTTCTTTTTAAATTTTGTTTCTCTTTATTTCAAGCCAAACCCAAACACTTTCTGATGACCAATAAAACGTCGCTAACATCCAGCAGACCAATAGAAATGAGTCTCTGCTCCTAACTTCAGAGAAGAAAAAAAATCCCCCAGAAGAAGAACATGTGATCTGTTAAAAATATTAACCAGAAATGTACCAGGTCAAGACCTGAAATCACACCTGCTAATTAACCAGAACTCTAGCGTGACTGAAGGTGTAACTTTGCAGGGTAACGCGTTTTTGGTGTGAAACTCCTGAACAGTGTTTCCAACAGGCCAAAGACCCCCTCATAGTGTCTGCCGTGGGTTTTTCTGCTGTGCTGGCTGCAGGGCATGTCAGCACACGCATGCTGCTTTGCTCTATTTTGCAGCGTGATGTCATCTCACTGCACTGAGGGCTGCTTACTGCTGCGGTCTGCGCTTGGCACAACAATCATCTCATTCAGCCCCTGATGACGGGTTCTCACATCGACCTCAGACGCTGCACGCAGACATTACCCAGAAAGCTAACATTTACACCCAGCAGAAGGAGCATGCATGTTCAGTAGCCAACTAAATGACTCCAAAGTGCTCCTGCTTCCAAACTACTAGGGGTGTGATTTCAGTAGCAGTTAAAATACCAGACTTTAACACCGCCACCTCAGTCACATGTCAGTTTTATGAATAAGGGGTTGAGAGGCAGTGAACTTGCTCCCAGCTGCTCTTTATGACATCTATCCTGTTATGTAAACCTGGGTTATTACGGTGTCCCTTCGTACTCCTGTCGCCTGTCATCAGCCACTCCCAGGAGGCTGATGGGACCAGAATAAGGCGAGGGGAACAGAGGAACAAGCTCAGTGTTCAACAGACCTGCATGAGAAGCCCAGCATGGTCACCATGGATGCAAACAGGCTCCGGGTTTATGTTCCAACACAGCAAACAACATCCGTTGTACACGTGTAATAAATGAAAACTTGACGGATGAATGAACCGGAGGACTGCAGAAACCGTCCCAGTCCTGATCAACGTTCCCATCAACGTCACACAAATCATCATCATGGTAAACATCGGCTGCTGCTGTGTTTTGAAATGTGATCCTGTTGCACATATCTGTTTAGAAGTGTTGCATAATAAACCTTGAGATTTTTTCTCTGCCTGTCTGAGCAGTGAAGCTGTGGTTGTGACAACGGTGAAAATGTGGAAAAACTTCCCCCTGATGTGGAGGAGGAACAGGCAGAGCAGCTCTAGCCACTGATCAGAACGACCCAAGAGGGCGACGGGTAGTTCAGCTCAGGTCAAAAAATAAAAATAAATAAATTCCCCTAACGACACCAAGGCCAACGTTTAGCTCAACATTTATTACCAAATAACCACATCTTCTCACAGCAAATGATCTTTCATGGTCTCAGATTACGAATCTATGAGGTAATGATTAGAAGTTAAAACCTCCAATTATATGAAGCAAAGTTCCCTGATCGGACGGGAGCCTGATCTTTTTTATTGTAAATTTATCATCAGAAATATTTGGTGGCGTTAAATTTATTCTAACAAACCAGATAAAAACGAAACCCACCAGAGGGAAGCTAAGAAATAATTGCAAAACTCTGCATGTGCAATTGTTTTTTCTCAGAGTCAACTTGAGTTAAAAGCAGATTTCATTCTCACCATCAGCTCCCTTTGCTCCTCCAGGTTTTTCAGGAAAGAGGAAAACTCTTGCAAAGACTCGTCTAGAAAAAGAAAACACAACAAATGAGAAATCATGTAAAGTAGTCATTTGTTCAACTTATTCCAGTAAGATAACAAGAATGTAATCATATAATATCTAAAGGTTTTCAAATAATCATCTAAAAATCAAACCCTACTCTCTGTCCGAACGTTCGCCCTAACCCCTAAATCCCTCAATCACTATATAGAGCAGGGGCTATAGAGCAGTGAACTCAGTTAACTGACCATTCGGACATATTATCACTACTTTTTGCTTCTACAGCACAGTGCCTGCGCCATCTTTGTTATTAATCGCCGCTGCCAGGTAGCGACAGTGTATGGTGACAGCGGGCAGCTGTGACAGCAAATCCCACAATCTTTAAAGGGAGAGCAAAGAATTCAGGGATATATCTGCTCGTCTAGTGACCATGGATGATCACTACTTTTCTAGGTGCATTGTGGGAAATTTTGAGTCCACTATGTTTTCATCCACTAGACGTTCAGACACTCATTTAAAATAGTTAAACCACTATATAGTGCTTTATAGTGATTAGAGTGGACATTCGGACACAGCCCTGGTGTTTCCAGTCAGCCTTATAAGGGAAATCTAAACCGACTGAAAGGAAGGGGAAATGTTTTTGGTTTGGTTTGGATTTAGATTATTGGTTAGCTTCAATTTTTTCAAGTTGAATGTAAATGGGTTTTTGGTTTGTTTTCCCTTTAGAGGTTTAATTCAGTTGAATGTTTCCCAAATAGAAAGTGACAATGTTGTAAAGGCTTTAAACCTTTTATTAGAGATTGTACATGATGATGCTATAAAAGCTGGGTTGTGTTTTTTTTTTTTTGTTCTTCTGCTGTGATTGAGGAAAGGGGAACCCCTGCTTGTCTGCTTTAAAGGGGTCATAGAATGCAAAACCGATTTGATGTTTCAGTTAGTGAGTGCTTGTTGCTATGATGCATCGTTGCTCAGCAGCTTCACTCGTTGTAAACCAACCAATCAGAGCACAGCTCATCTTAATATTAATGAGCATAGCATAAAAAGAAGAAAACCTGTGGTTTCATTCTAGGGCTTATAACCAGGCTTGCATTAGGGCTCATAGAACAGCAAATATGGCATTTTCAACCAATGTTACACACCCTATTAAGAGAGCTTAAGGACCAGCACCACATACCCTATAGAATCATTCTATCACCCCTTTAAAATTCCACAAGGTTTCTGCCTCTGTTAGCTACGGAAGAGGATTAGGGCCACTGAAAAAAAAAAGTTAACTAATTTTTTAATTTTATTTCAGTTTAATATGGGGAAAAAAACACAGAATTCTGACTTTTGTCTCAGAATTTTGGATCTTAATGTAGATGGTCACCATGAAGGAAGAGATGTGGGAGCACTCAGCTTCACTGACAAAGATGTGAGTTGTTTGAGGTGGCCAGTGACACATTGGTAGAAAATGACGGAATTAGGCAACTTTTTACGTGCCCGAGGGGTCCCCTCATTAATGGAGGAGCAGAAGGTCATTAAAACAAGAGAGCTAGTCTCTAAAACAGACATGGCTATGGCTTGATGCTAACATGTTTGTTAGCTGTCAGGATTCTGAAATTTAAGTCAGAATTCTGAGAAAAAAGTCAGAATTCTGACTTTTTTCCCATATTAAACTGCAATAAAATTTAAAAATCAGTTAACTTTTTTTTTTTTTTCCCAGTGGCCCTAATCCTCTTTCGTAGTTAGCAAACCTTACAGTATGCATTCATGTATATAATGGTAATCAAGCAGAAGAAATTGAGGCGAGCGAGTGTGGAACTCCCAGTGGAATTGGTGGAAATTAGAAACAAAAAAAAATAATAGGATTCCAAATGAGGGATAAGAATCGAACAGTACTGGGAATCCAGTATGAGGGTTGGTGTTTAATGGAACAGAATCTAATGCTGTTGAGGCCTTTAGAAGTTGCTGCAGAGTTAATAGATAGGTAAACATCGCTGTGATGGCAGATGAAAAGGTTTAACCTATGACTTATGTAAATGTTTTTTATCTATTTAATTCATTAAATATTTCTTACTTTGGTACCAAGTCCATTCTTGGATTTGGTAGAAAGAAAAATGTGATATTTTTTTGCCCATGTGTAAACCATATCTGAATTATTAATCACAGTCAAAAACGACCCGATTCCGATCGTTTCACCTCCAAATAGGTCTGAATTGTGCCGTTTCCATATGCGGTACTAAACCAGATCCGATTGGTATTTAAAGCGCCTACGGCCTGAACTCTCATGACCTGGTTTATCCAAATCTCACATCATCTGCTGCGTCATGTCTACACTGTCCATCTGCACCTGCAGGTCGCTGTAGGGTCTTCAAACATTCAGACCAGAGTCTGAAGTTGGCTGCATTTAAATAGCCGTCACAATAAAAAAAAAAAAAATCCTACTTCAAGAAAAAAATTACATAAAAAAATCAGATTTGAGCATCAAGACATGCAGTGTAAGGTGTGAGCCTTTATAGGGTTGCTGTAGATCAGATTTTTTTATAATAATAACAGCACTGTTCTGGCAGTGAAAACAGTGATGAAACAAGCGGTTAGTTTTTTGGAAAAAATTGAAGGTGTGAAGAACAAACTTACCAATGCATCTTTCATCATCTGTCTTTGCATCGCCGATGTACTCAAACTGAAACTCCCCCAGGCACTGGGCAAACTTTCGCTGAGCCAACCCCAGCTCTGAAACATCAGTGCAAACACAAAATTACAAAACAAAACACTCTTACATGTTAAAAGAAGGTAAGAAACATTTTCTTCCACAGTTAAAAGACATTTAAAAAAGTAAATATTGTGCTGAGAAATTAGATCTAGCCCAGAGTGGGTTTGATGTGTTTATTTTGACCACAATGCTAACATCCTGTCTGACTGGGTTTGCTGCATCCTGCTAAGCTCACATGTATGTTTACCACCGAGAACGACGCCACAAGAAACAGTTATCTGTGTCTGTTTGCAAGTAGCACGTTAGCAAAGGCAGCCATCAACATGTTTACTCCAGCTTATGCAAACCGTGGACCTACAAACCAACACAGAGACGCTAAAACCAAACACATTCCCCGTAGTTATGCAGCTGCTTTAACAGAGACGGTATGCTAATTTTACAAGGTTTTTATTTTGATCTATAAAAACACACCTGCACTTCGGGTTAATAGATTGGTGCTTTATTTATATGAACATGAGTCCTGGTGAAAAGAATAAATAAGAAAAAGAATTTGTAAATAAAAACTTCGACTCAACTTTATTTATCTCTTGCTGTTACTCTTTCAGGGAAATTCTGTTTCCAGTAGTTTATATAGAGTACAAAGAGTTAAAGCAAGGTGCAAAAGCATTAAAAAAAAGAAAAAAGTTGCATTGTTTGTTTCCCTTAAATATGAAAATATCTGCACAGTAGAGAGCTAAGGAAAGACTACATAGCAGGTGAGTTATTGCACCTGCTCTGCATAAAAGATTACACACACTACACAGTAGTTGGCATGTGTTATTGCACACTGAGAGAAAAGAAAATCCTCCTTATCAACATAAACATAATACTCTATTAAGATACAATATAACCTTTAAACTTTTCCAAAATTTCAGAAAAATTGAAGGAAATTTAAATTTTTCTTTGGCCGTAATCCTATGTTGGTTTCCAGGATTAACAATCAGACTTTTATTACATTATCATCTGCATATATAACAAACGTCTATTATAACGTCTGTAAATAAATAAGGTTTGTTCTGGTTTATAGTCAATGTTCTTATTTTGAAAATGAACAACTCTGTATTTTAAATGAGCAGAATCAGAGGCAGGTCCACGGGTCAGAACTACTTTTAAACCTTCTTATAATCCCATGCAGCACCGGCCCAAACATCCATCCTGGTTCATCCAACCGTACAAAGAGTCGCCACAATCAGAACCAGCTGAGCTCAGGTCACCTCCAGAACTTGGCTGGGTCTCTGTTCTGTTAGTTTAGCGTAAAGAATTCAAGTCTGAAGGGAAATTGTAAAATAGATCTCTGGTTTTAGCTCAAATAAATCTAAAACTGGGTTTGAAATGAACAAAAAGACTAAAGATCTTGGCTCCACTGGTTCAAAGAATGATCGAAATCCAAAGAGTTTCACAAAATTTTTTTTTTTTCAGCAATCTAATATGTTCCTGTTTAGTTACATCCTGTAAATGTTTTATTTTATAAAAGAAATTATACTTTTGAGGGTTCAAATCAGTTACTACTTAAAAAAGCTGCCACAAAAACATGTTAAAATAGAATAATGGACCTTTTGTTTTTAATCTTTGCATATTGTAAGAAATATTTAGTCCTTTATGTAAGAAAAAATCCTCCTGATAGAAGAAAAGACTTTTAAGAAAGTGGTCCCTCATTATTTTATCCTGAATTGACTGATAAAAAAAAGTAATCATCTTTAGATTAATGCTAGCAGAAGCTAAATATCTGATCAGTTGTCCTGAAGAAAAAGGCACACTAAGTATCACAGCTTCTCCAAGTGTTTGAATTATTCCTTTAGAGGAAGTGTTTTGTGATCCTGTCTTAACTCAAGGAAATTGTTGGCAGAAAAACCGGTTTATAAAAAACGGAAGAAAGATTCTTGGGAGATGGGGAGTTGGATATTTTATCAAAGTGCATCAGAAGAAACAAAACTATTCTATTCAAACTGCTGAACATCAAGGCTTGGAAAGCATTTCTCCAGAGAATCCAAGGGTAGCAGACAGAAAAAAGAAACCAGATCAAACAGTCCAGAATGAGAAAAAAATAAATAATTTTCCGTTGTGTGCAGAAAGCATCTGAAATGACCCTCAATAAAAATCCTTTTCATAATAAAATTCAGATCAGTTCACAACATGTCATGTCAGGTCACTTTACAGACAATCCAAGCAGATCATCCAGACAGATTAAAGCTTCATAATTTCTATCTGAGATCTGACTCTGTATCAAACATGCTGAACATTGTGACGATGCAGACAGAGACCCACAAACTCCATGACGTATCCAAACTACAGAAAACATCCTGGCAAACACGTCCTCCAACAGAGGTGATAATTGGCCTTTCTGGGCTGAGTGTTGCCATTTTATCTGAAGCGACTGTAAATCTAAGAGGATCCAAAGCAAACAGACAGCAGGAATCCAGGCCAGCCAGGGTCAGTCCATAAAAGGTGAGTCTGGGCTAATCGCTTCATTCCCAGCGAGTGGAACAGCTGCAGCCAACACAAACGGGTGACGCGCGCTTTTTGACAAACTGTCAATAAACAAAGTTAAGGAGGCGACCAGAATCACAGAAACATGTCATATTTGATGCTGCTTGACACAGGAGCAGCAATCAGGGGTTTTTCTCTCACTGCGTTTTCACTTCTGCTCATTTGGAATGACAAAAACAGAACATAGGTTGAGTCTAGAACCTCAGGCGCTGCCAGATGATCAGAAATAACCTTTGAAAAGAAAACAGTCCAGGCTGTGCTGCCATGATGTTATCACCTTGAAGATTTACTGATGATGCCTGTGGAGCAAATATTTGCCATCATTTCTGATGTTCTGAAGTGTTTGGTGTTCTGATCCAATCAGGACCAGCCCCCCTAATGATATCATAGTTGGATCTGGCTTCCTGCAGTTCTAGATGGGACCAACTGTCATTTGGGGTCATTTATTAGATTCTGACAGAATAAGAAGAATAAGAAGAATAAGAAGGAATACATAAACATTTGGTATAAAGAACAGGCTTACAAAAATGTTTAGATTTGCATTACATTCATTTACTTTTTATTTAGAATCTAAGCAATATTAAAATAAAACCAAACATCCCATATTTTATGTAGTAAAACTAGCCCCACCCGTCAGCGGCCAAAATCATTATTGCCTGTGAGTGGTTTAGAGACCCTAGAACTGGCTGGCCAATCACAACGCAGAGATGTGTTGCGAATGTCTGGATGTAAAGTGGGCGGGGTTTTGAGGGCGGGACAACAAAGCTGCGCGACGCTAGAGAAAGCACAACAAGGAAGATGGCAACAACTATTTAACAGTAGCATTGACTGTGGCAGCAGCAGCTTTAAATGGAGTGCTCCATTAAAAGTTAAAAGGTCTCTTTCTGTTGCTGTTCAATAAAAGTAAGTTTTAAGATCATTTGAGGCAAGAATATTATACTTTAAAGTAGGGATGCACGATATTGGGATTTTGGCCGATATCCGATATTTTAAGACTCATATATCCGATAACCGATATCGACATTGATGTTAAAGCTGGACAAAAATAAGTAGTCATTGAAAATAGCAGTTTGGTTATCCATTTCTGACACTTTGAAAAATAATATACTCAAATATATTTTCATATGCTGATATCAAATTGATTTTTAAAAACGCAGTATCGATCCATTTTACTTTCAAAATCTCGCGAAATTTCACCGTTCTGTTACAAACTCTCGTGATATTTTGCAAATTCTTGTGAGATTTCTTGAGTAAAATAGATCGATACCGCGTCAATATATCAACATATAAAAATATGGCAAAATTTTGTGAATTTTCGGGCGATTTCGTAGCATAACGATGACATATAGCAATATTTCATTAGTGGTGTTTTTAAATGGCAATATATCAGCATATGAAGATATTGTGATATTTTAATGTATCAATATTTTTTCCCTGGTCTTTAGAAGTTTTTAAGTCCGTAAAACAGAAGTTTTTGAGGAAGAAGTAGTATTTTTTTTTTTTTATTTTTTTTTTTAGACTTTAGAAACTCAGAAGCTGATCAAATATCGGGTTAAATATCAGTGGGGTGGCCGATGTCCGATATTCAGTTTTAAGGCCGATACAGGCCGATACCGATAGGGGGCCGATTATATCGTGCATCCCTACTTTAAAGCGTCACTACATGGTCCATTTACCGATTTAATGGATTATAAAAGAAAAATAATTTCCAAAATTGAGAGGACCACGGCAACCAGCAGACCTCCGAGGCTGACTGCAGCCAGGGCTAACCACGGCCTGTCTGCAGCGGCAGACTCTCCTGGCATAGTCGTGTGTGAAGGACCGCTGGCTCTGATGGCGATTTTTCACTCAGCTTTGGAATCAGTTTAGGAAGGATTAGACTTGGGGTTTTCGTTGAAACGCGAGCAGGAAGAGGCTCTACGCTCATTCATTTTTAAGAAGGACGTATTCGTCGTTTTACCGACAGGCTGTTTGTTTACACTTGCCTTACCAGCTTTATGTCGCCCTTACTATGTCCCAGTCAGTTGCGCTCATTGTTCAGAGTGTTGGCCAATAGGCACCAACATGGTTTGAAAAACAACGGGTTGTTCTCATCTGGTTTACCTATAATTTCATACATTATCGATTCAGATAGTAAAAATCAGATCTGACTATAATTGTATCGGTCAAGATATTGAAGAAAATTCCAGATCTAGCATCAGTGAGAATGGGCCGATCCATTGGGGCTGATCTCTTTACTCTATTTTCTGTAATTAATTTATGTTGGGTTAAAAATTTCTTCAAAAGCATGAAACTTTACCCTTTACATATATATGCAATTGGTTTAATGAACGCAGTCAGTTTGAAACCTTCTAGTTTGATATTTAACAGGATTTATCTGCTTTGATCAGAGATCGATCAACGTTCCTGCCTTGGGCTGATATAATCTTCTATCCGTCGGTAAGTGTGTGCATTAGCAATTCGTTCAGAATGAAGCTCATTCACTGCCTGTCTT